CCTGTCATTTGCTGTCAACAAATTAGCTCAGTTTATGCATCGACCCACAGAGCTGCATTGGCAGGCAGCAAAACGACTTCTGCGGTACTTGCGCGGTACTCTGTTTCACGGGTTGCTTCTTCGGCCTCAATCTTCTCTCAACTTGCATGCTTATTTAGATGCGGACTGGGCTGGAGATCGGGATACAATGGTTAGCACCACTGGGTATATAGTTTTTCTTGGTCAAAATCCGATCTCCTGGCGAGCTGCAAAGCAAAAAGCTGTTGCTCGAAGCTCCACCGAGGCTGAATATCGTGCTCTCGCTGCTACAGCCTCTGAAGTTGTCTGGATTCGCCATTTGCTTGGTGAACTTGGGATCTCTTGCTCCCCTTCTTCCGCCATCTTTTGTGACAACATTGGCGCCACCTATCTTAGCTTAAATCCTGTTATGCACTCGCGCATGAAGCATATAGCTATCGACTTGCATTTTGTTCGGGATTTAGTTGATCAACGTGTTCTTCATGTCTCCCACATTGCGTCCCAAGATCAGCTTGCTGATGGGCTCACAAAGCCCCTCTCTTCCATCCGGTTTTCTCACTTACGGTCCAAGATCGGAGTTGCCAATGGCACCACCGTCTTGCGGGGGCGTATTAAGGAAAGTAAATCTCCTCCATGAAGTCCTGGATTGTCTCCATGAAATCCCAGATTTAGAAGATCTCGGAACTGCAATTGTAAAAGATTTGGAACTGTTATTGTAAATAGTGTTTCCTAGTTTGATTAGATTCTGTAGTGTATAAATTGTACTGCTCCATTCAGTAATAAGACAATGAGGAAATCCTTCTCTGATTCAAGCCTTCATACCTTAACAGTTTCCTTGACACGGCTGGCGAGAATTTTACCCTTCCAGAAAGAGGAGAACAAACCCACGTCATGAAATTTAAAGGTTTTTCTCCTATGAAGGAAAATGCCTAAAAAAATTAGAAACGCATTTATTGTAAAGTGGAGAAAGTAAAGAAAGTTACATCTCAATGGGAAACATAAGCAAGAAGCGGGATGATGGTAACCAGTGTTGTCATAATCGCGTTTTATATCGTAAAATCTTAAAATTTTACGATGTTAGGTATGGATGCCGAGTAAAATCGACTTTAAAATCGGATTTTCATAAAATCAGATGATAAAAATGTAAAAGCGTGATTTTTTCGTAAAATCGTTTGAAATCTCGATTTCACTTTCACAAAAATTGAAAAAGAGATTTCCAGAAATTTACCGCAGGGGAGGGAAAGATTTTGGACTGCTACGGTGCCGGAGTGCTTCTGTTCACTGTCACTACTCACATCTCACGCACTGGTGGGATGGAAATCTATTTGGTGACCCCAATCATGTGGAGCCAGCCTTAAATAGTAGGATTTGGTTGCTGCTGCTCACTGCTCAAGCAAAGAAGGATAAAATTTGTTGCCAGAAAAAGGCGTAGATAAGGATCAGGAAGTGAGCTTGAATGTAGAAAAATGGTAGAAAAAGAAAGAAGATGACAAGGCGAAGAAGGTGAAAGTGTGAAACAATGGAGAGGTACTCCTTTTAGTGGGTAGTATGTTGACACGTGATTGGTGTTGGTTTTTGGGCAATACTAGCTGTGTTTTGGGCAATGTTAGCTGCTAGGGGCACTCGTAGGATGTCAACCGGGCTCCGCGGGGTCGGGAGTCTCTCTTCGTTTCTGTCCCCGTGAATGGCAGGAATGGGGATCCCCGCAGGGATTTTTAACAGGAGTAAATTTTGCCACCCACTCTGTTTCTTGCGGGGAATGGAGATCCCCATTTTTCACCAATTAATATAAAAAAATAAATTTTTTACATATAATTAATTAATATTCAATTATAA